TTGCTTGCAAGTGAACGAATTGCTATAAGCTCTTCGCTTAGCTATACCCAAAACAAAGTTGAGTAAATTTCGAATTTGTGCTTAAAATAATGATCTCTTCTTCATCGAATTCGAACCAATATCTCCGGCGTTCCGCTGCTATATTAACACTACTCTAGCGCCAAGCGACAGCATGAGTCATGTTGCTATGCTGAACATATGATGCTATGAAGCCTGAAAAATGAACCAACTGTAGGCCTTGTACTACACACCTCAAACACTTACTTATGGAGGAAATGATAGTTACTGGTAGCCGCAACGCTGATTGATCAATCTTGACTGGAAGTTTTCGAGTACCTTGTTAACAACCGGGAACAAGAAGTCTGATTTGCATTTTCACAGCGTCAATATATCTTGGGTCATGATTTCATGGGTAATTTATTTTTTCACTTGTAAGCAAATCAAATTGCTTCCTCAACTAACGTAGAGATATTAACACCTTTAATACAAACGGATGTACAATTTGTCAATTAAGCTATGTGACACAATAAACCAACCTAACAAGACACAGCGATTGCTGGGGATGTCTTCAGTGGTGAAAGCAAATTCTACAGTGTGCCTGTTTCGCTGTGGGAGCGAGCCACCTCTTGATGATCGGCGTTCGACTTTCAGATATGGAAACTCTACATTCAACTAGAACATATTTTCATGACATCTGTTCGTTGTCCAATGATTTCGTTCAGTCATTTACTGCAGTTTTTCTTTTATCTTCTACTCCTTTCGTTTTCTCATATTCCATAATTTTAGGTTAATAGCGCGAAGAGTCGAGCCACGTCTTCTTTTTCGGGTCTTTCCATGCTTCCACGGTGGCCAAAGGCCTTCATATTTTTAATTCTGCTCAGGGCTTCTTCCACTTTCTTTGGTGGTCTTTTCGACTAGATTCCGGTTTTGCAGAATCTATTCCAGGGCCTCTTTGGAATGTTCTTCGCTTAGTAACATTTGGAAGTGTTTTTGCCATCAGTTGCGAATGTTTTTTTCATCGGTCAGAAATAATTCCGCTCTCGTCTTTGGTGCATTTCACTTTACCGACGTTTCTTGTTCTTTTTTCTCTGCTTTTACTACGCAATAGATGTCTTTCTTCCTTTCCTCGTAGGGATATTAGATCGTATAGACTTTCCTTTCGGCGACAAATTTCTTTGTATGCGTTTTTGAATTGCCTTATTTTACTGTTTTCCGCTCAGTTTGACAGCCGCAATTTGTTGAAGAAACGTTTTACCGTCTTAGGGGTCGCCGGCACATTCGTATGTCATTGCCATATTTTATGTTATACCTGTTGTTTCTCTGACCAGAATTGAATCGTTGTATTACTATGATCAGACTGACGGTTATTCATTATATCCCAAAAGAAAGCATCGTTTAAAGGTGTTGGACGTTGCTATATTGCTAATCGAGTAATTTTTTTTATAAATGATTAATCTCTTGCTATGTAGGGAAACGTATTTATCAGATTTGCTCACAATATTGATCTTAAGATATCAAAGTGTAAAACGAAAACTCTTAGCAGCAAGCAACTGTGCATTGTTAAATTACGTGTCTTTATCTAACCTTCGTAGTGAGTGCAAGTTAAAAAGAAGGTAGTTAAATCTTATTGAAGATGTGAAAGACTCATTATGACATTACCTCCCTCCATATATGAATAGATATTCAAAGTAAACTGTGGACGAAAATAAGTAAATTTTGTGACCGTAAGTTTAACTTATTAAAATATAGTTCAACGATTAGCTAACATGTCGGTAAAATTTGTTAATAGTAAGACATGCTCATGTTCAGCGAAGCTTTTCCGTAGATAGCTTGAAACTGGATGGCGATCCAAGCTCCACGATATTCCGAAATATCTGCAAGCAATGGTAAACAAATACTGACATATTATCAAGTATAAGATGATCATTACTCTCGACATATGGTAATCGGGTTTTAGTAAGATAAGCTGGCAAAACAGCTAGTAATGGTATGAAAGGTACAAACATAGTGAAACATGTAACTGTTAGATGCAACCAATGTTAAAATCTATTATGAGTATTAAAATAGTAAATTAAGAATGTGATTTCCATAACAGATCCCACGGTGTTAGAAATCCGAACAGAAAAATCAGTGCCTCAGTCTATATTAAAGTACAATGAAAATGCGCATAATACGTGCACATATATCAATTAATGGATTGCCCAAATCTAGGCAGTCTACATGACAGAAATGGTGATTCGATCTTCATTTGTATCATTCCGTCTCAATATCATATTGAATGTTCTATCCGTCTTCACAAAAGATTTCCATTTTCAAACTATATGCGATACCCGTTAACACAAGGTATTTAGTTGGTGCGCTGGTGGTGATACTGGAAACAGCATAAATCACGGGCCACTTACACACAACAAAATTATTCAGTGAATTGACCAGTACCGACGTTTCGGTTAGTGTCTGTCGGGCCTCCTTCAAGGT